GTGGCCCGGCCCCACGGGGAGGGGCTGGGCCTCGCGGCAGGTGCTCAAGCGGGGCGGCTGGTTTTTAGGATGGGGGCCCAAGGGGAGGTTTGTTCTGGCAGCGGGTCTATTTTAAGGAATAAAACAGCACTCATGAGAGTGAGGCCTTGGCTGGCCGGGGGAGACCGGAGAGCTCTCCATCGCCAATCAGCACTGGGATGTGGAAGAGCAGAAGGCGTAAGGAGCTGGGCATGTAACTGCTGCTGGGCTGCTAGGGAAACTCCTGCCCACTTCACTTCTTTATTTATTTGCAGTTGTTGGCGTAACTCATTTCCTTTCTCTATTTGACTCTAGCAGGACTCGGAAACTTTTATCTGCCCCAAGCACTAGTGCTAGTGGGGTGCCACCAATGGGCTCAAGTGCTCAGATCCCCCAAACGCCTGCCATTTATTTATTTGTTTGTTTTTAATGCCCTGATATTTGGTTTCGTGAGCCTAAAGGCTTGGCCAGGAGCTGTTCAACAGTAGCCTTCGGCATATTCCCTTCCTTCCCCATCAGCTCTTCTTCCACTGCCCTGTTTGTCAAACGTGCGTTGCTTCCTTCCCTGGGAAGAGCAAGTGGGGCTGCTCCTGCCGTGCGTGGCAAAGCTGACGGCAATCTTGTAAAGAAGCCCTTGTTTGCTAGGGTTGTACATATCTACTTGAAACCGTCCATGGCCAGGGAGTCAGTGAACGCCGCTCGCTCGGCCGACTGTCATAAACGCAAACCCACACGTGGATGTTTGTCACCTGTGATGGCACTGACATGAAAAAATGAGCGTATCAGGCTCTCCTCACCTGCAGCCTGCTGGCGAGCGTGGCCAGGAGCGCGGCGCACGTCCCAGCCCGCCAACGGGGCTTCAGTAGCTGCCTTTACAGACAAAACAGAGAGAAAAAACAAAACAAACCCTGCCAAGAGCCATTCTCACCTGCTCCCACGTGGCGGGAGAGGAGCAGAACGAGCAGTGGAGTCAGCGTCTGGTGACGCACAGAGCTAAACCCAGTGCTTTTACAGCTGAAGAGGAGCCTTGTGGGGCTTAGGGGTTTTTGTTGTGTTTTGTTTTGTTTTTTGTTTGATATAGCAGCCTCCAAATAGGGCTGGGAAGGCCCTTGAGATTAGGTGATCAGCCTTTTGTCTCAGGGCAGGATGTCTCAGAGAAAGCTTGTAACATGAAGCATCTTGGCTGCTAGGAAGGTGTTACGGAGCTTTTGAAAACTCGTCTCGTTGCCTTTCCGGTTAACGCGGAGGGTGAAAGAGAGCCTTTGCTGCCCGGGCTGAGCAGGGATGGGCACCGCGGGGCCAGGGCGCCCTCCTCCCACCGGGGAGGCAAAGGGAGGATTCACGAGGGCAGAACCTCTCCCCAGCTTGTTCCCGTGCCTCCACAGCCTGTACGCGGCATTTCTGCCCTGAGGGGAGTCACGCTTTGGAGGCAGAGCGAAGCGGTGCTGGGGAAAATAGCTGGTCGTCTTGTTGCCAGGATGCTGCTGTTTCTCGCAGCACCTGTGGCCCCTCTTGGCTGGGTGGCCCATCTCAGCACGTCCGGTTGCTCGGGGTTTTTTTTGTTTTCTTCCTTCTCACCCTTGAAGGAGTGAGGGTGCTCCCCGTGGCCGGACAGGAGCAGACCAGTGCCGAGAGGGGCAAGAAGTGGTGCTACGGTGCACAGCGCTGCCAGGCCTGCAAGAGCACCACCGTGAGGAGCACTCACCTCCTGCAGAGGGGCTCTGGGTCACCTGTAGGGGGGCCGGTGAAGCTCAACAGCTGGAGGAGACCCACGGGGAAAGTGTCTCCCCCTGCGCACCCATCTCTGGTCACGGCAGAGGGTGGAACAGCTCTTAGAGCAAAGCCAGGCAAGAAGGGATGAGGACTATGGTCCTGGCCACAGGAGCTCTGCTGGCCCCCATTTTTTTGAGGGGTGAATTGCCTGTGGGGGGGGGTTGCTTTCCTCGCGTTCCCCACTTCCGTCCTCCACGATGAGCTGCTCGTGAGCCCCGCAGACGCAGGGACGGGGACGCTGGTGGCTCATGGCAGCACCAGGCTGGGGCGAGGAGGGAGTCGCTGGCCTTGAGCTGGAGAGACAACGAGGGCAGGCTGAGATTTTTTTTCCCGTGGAGTGCCTGATAATACAATGTTTCCGCGCTGTGTGGTCACTGATGTCTACATACGTGTGCGTGCGTGCGTGCGTGCCGGGGGGTGGGAGGGTTATTTGGGGGGGGGTCTCATGGTTGCTCATGTGGTGTCCAGCTTCCATTGCTTCCCCCCCTCCTCCAAAAAAAGGTCCCACTTTGCACCGTCGGAGACTCGAGGCGATGGCTGCCCTCCCCGCTCGCGGGGAGGCAAAGCGGGGAGGTGGCGGGCGGGCGGCCGGCCAGAGGGGCCAGACCTGCCGTAGCATTTCCGGCATCGTCCTCGTGTCCTTTCCCTCCTCTCCCCGGCGCCCAGCC